CTCTTGACGATAGAATCTCTCATTGAAACTGGAGCTCACCAGTTTGGAAGGACTAGCTGCTTACTGAGTTCCAGACACTTCCCCCTAGTGCCAGAATCATGGGCATGAGCCAGCATGTCTGGCTTTTACTTGGATCCTCATTTATGGCAAACACTCTACTGACTGTATTACCTCCTTGGCCTTTACACTTAAACTTCTTGAGTTTTTCCTTATTTTTAGTTTCCTGATTAAAAAATATGCACTTGCTGGGCGGTGGTGGCGCACGCCTTTAATCCCAGCACTTGGGAGGCAGAGGCAGGCAGATTTCTGAGTTTGAGGCCAGCCTGGTCTACAGAGTGAGTTCCAGGACAGCTACACAGAGAACCCCTGTCTCGAAAAAACAAAAACAAAACAAAATGCACTTATTATAAACAACTGAAGCATAATGAAAGAAGAGAAAAGGGTCTTTTATTCTTCATGCCCCGCCTCCCCTGCTGAAGACGCTCACTGTGAACAGTTTGGGCTTGAATCTCCTTCTAAGATCATGTTGGTTTTTCAAAGTAGAAATGTTGTTACAATGCAAGTAAAATGGTATTTTATAAACTTAATTATTTGTCTTAGAAAAACATAATATAAAAGCTAGGCAAAGTGGCATCTTTAATACCAGCACTCAGGAGGCAGAGGCAGGAGATGTCTGACTTTGAGGCCAGCTGGGTCTAGAGAGAGAGTTCTAAGATACCCAGGGCCCCAGAACTACACAAAGAAACCCTGTCTCAAATTCAAATATCTATCTATCTATCTATCTATCTATCTATCTATCTATCTATCTATCTAAAGTATTGTTTTAAAATAATATTATATTTACAGTATAGAGTAGAATCGTAAACAGAGTATAGTGGTCTGTTCTTCACTCACAAGTGACAGACTCCAGCATGCAGGAGACTGCAGGCAGCAGGCAGAGTGCTGGTCCAGAAGCACCACATTCTCTCTGGCCTGGCACACTATGGTAATGTTTAACTCAGGGAAGGAGATTAATAGCTACCAGTCTAACCCTAACACTGTGGTGTCATGTGAGTAAGGTAAACATGCTTTCTCCAAATACCTTACTTCAGTGTCCTGTAGTTCCTAACTGCAGCTGGATATCAGAGGCCTAGTCTCCGGAGGTGTGTCACTTTATATTTTCTGCACGTTTCTTACCTGAACGACAAGTACTTTCCAAACTACAGTTCAAGAAGTTGGCAGGATGTGTTGCCATCATGCTATTTTAACCACAAGATCAGCCACTTTTATGCTCAGTCTCCCTCTTACATGCTTGTCTCTATTGATGCCTTTTCATATTTGCTTCTGTTAGTAATATATAACTTGGTAGTATATTTTGGGTGAATATATACATACACATATCTGTGCACACACACACACACACTGTCTTGAGTAATCTTATTCTGTGTCACCTTTAGCACATAATCTTGCATAAGGCTCTTACGTATAGAGTGATTTTGGAGAGAAAGCAGGTAACTGACATCGGTAGTGAGATTTATTTCATTTTAACAATTTGTTCTCAACATGAAATGTGCTTCCACTCATGTTACATCATAAATCAGGTAAGTAGGGTTTGTTTCCTTTATTGAGGACTGGGTAAACTGTAAAACATAAAATGGTCCTTCATAGTCTTTTAACTTTTATGATTATTGTTATCTGGTCTTAAATGTGGTAAAAAGAAGATGAATGAGAATAACAAAGACAAAAATCAAGTGATTTGTCATGTGTATATGTGCATAGACTTGAAAGACACACACTGAAGTTTTTAACAGTAGATTTATGGTAGGAATAGGAGGGATTTTTTTTTCTTCTCTGCATGTTTTCCCTGTAGTACTAGTAACTTGGGGCTTGTGCATACTGGATGAGTATTCTACCAACGAGCCCTGTTCTCTTTTGATTTTTCTGTGTCCTGGCTGTCCTGGAACTCACAAAGACTGCCTGAATCTGCCTCTCAAGGGCTGGGATTAAAGACATGCACCACTACCACCTGACTTTTTTCCTTTAAAGTGTTAATTTTGTAATCATAAAGTATGTTAAAAAGAAATAGTTATGTAAGAGATTTGAATAATTTTTGCTTTTAGAAATCTAGAGCTGAAGATTAAACTCGGGGCCTAGTGAATCAATGAATCACACTGCAACCCATATTACATTTTTGTTTTTGAGTCAGGGTCTTATAATGTGCTCTGGCTGTCCTGACACTTGATATGTAGGTTAAGCTGTCCTTGAACTCAAGCCTCTGCTTCCCAAGTGTAGGCGTCCCACATGTGCCACCAGACTTGCTTCATATTAGAGTATTCTTAATCATTAAACATTAATTGTGTTTACTTTTTCCTGTGGCTGAGTAAAGCAGACTAATGCAGTTGTGTGTGGTGTCAGAGAGGTAAGGGGAAGTGGCCACACAGCAAAGTCACCTGCAGAACTTTGAAAACATTACAGCTGCCGGGAAGTGGTGGTGCACACCTTTAATCCCAGCACTTGGGAGGCAGTGGCAGGTGGATTTCTGAGTTCGAGAGTTTGAGGCTAGCCTGGTCTACAGAGTGAGTTCCAGGACAGCTAGGGCTACACAGAGAAACCCTGTCTCAAAGAACAAAACCAAAAAAAAAAAAAAGAAAACCTACAGCCACAGTTCTCTGGGTGTTGTTTGTTCCCGCTGTGCTGGGCATGGATAGATACTACAGCCCCAGTTCTCTGTGTGTTGTTTGTTCCCTGCTGTGCTGGGCATGGATAGATACTACAGCCCCAGTTCTCTCGGTGTTGTTTGCTCTCTGCTGTGCTGGGCATGGATAGACAGCTCCTGCACATACACTTTGAGAAAAAAATACTTTCCGCTATTTGATTCCCTTTCTCCACGCCAGAGAATCACTGCACTAGCATGATGATGAAACAGCAATGAGATGTCTTATCATATTTTAGGTCCTTATTAATTCTTATACCCAAGCATACCATGCCCCAGAGTTCAGCTACAGGACACTCTCTCACAAGGCTCCTTTGTAACATGTTACTGCCTGTCCCTCTGATGCTAGGGAATGTTGACAAAAACATCCAAGTGCTTTGGCCCATTTCCTCCAGTGTAGGGTAGACTTAGGGATGTTGTTATTTGTAAGGATTTGATTAAGCAACTCCCCAGCCCCCTTTCATGTGTTCCTAGGCAACTGGCAGGTGAGCAAACCTTAATTAGTTGTAGCTGAGAACAAGAGCTAAGGAATCTAGGGCCCTGCCAAGGATTTGCACCAAGCGAAGATTAGCATATCTATGGCTAGCCAGTTTTGTTAGGTAGTGGCCACTTTTTTGATTAAAAGTCTGCCTGGTATTTATTTATGAATAGAAGAAATGTTTTCATGCATTACTTCGTATTCTTAACTTTGCTATTTTTTAAACATTTAAACTTAAGTTGACCAGTTTCCAGAGCCAGATGTTATATTCATATTTCTGAAAGCTTGATGATAAATTAACGTAAAAGTTAAACACGTGCTTTAAATTGGGTCAATGTAAAACACTCACCCAGTGACTTGGACATCAGTATCAGTTTGTCCCTGTATTTTGGTTTAAGACAAACAGGATTTCCATTTAGGTCCATTTTCCACAGCTTCATCAATTTTTTCAGTAAAAGCTCCAAGTCCTGTAGTCGGGAAAGAAAAAGGAAGGAATGGGAATTTTATGATTATTAGTACTCCTCATGGTAACTGCTTTTCAAGGTGGCTCATGATTTCTACAGCATCCTAGCTCCCCAGGTAGAAGTCATAAAACCACCAGCTTTGTCTACACTGGTCATTAGGGAGCTAAAAGAGGCAAAACGGGGACCGCGGTGCTGCTCTTGATCATGTTGTGACTAAATCAACTCAATCGTAGTTAGGAAAACACTTCCTGCTTATAGAAGATACCCTATTCTCAGGGGAATCCATAAAAGTTTACACATTAAGGCAACTGAAGAGTAGCGAGTGAACACTTCATCTGCCATTGCTGAAAAACACTCAGGTGAGTTGTCTGGAAGGAGCAGGGACCACTCCATCTGCCCCAGAGAGAGGCTCCGAGTCTGGAGGCACTCAGAAAGGACACTCCCCAGTGTATTGAGTTGCCTGCAGCCTGTGCAGTGTGCTTCTGGCTCCCAGCTTTCAGGAGCATTACACATGCTGGAGAAGGTTTTTGGTGATGCAGCTGTCTGAGTCATTTCTGCTCCTGTAAGTAACCCCTCACTCATCTTCCTGTAAGAAACCCCCACAAAACCCATTGGCTCATCAAATTAAACAATAACAAGGTCTGCCAGCACTACAGGCAGGATACATTGTTGCCTATTTTTTAATGGAGAATGTGGGAAAAGCCTGTCAAACTGCAAAACAGAAAAAAAAATTTTTTTTCCTGCTCATCACCCGGAGACCACATTGAACACACTGTTATGCCTGGCTCAACTTTTTGGGGCCTAAGGACTTCTTTTGAAATTATAATATTACTGGGGTTATAATTTCTTTTACTTCTTTTGTTGAGGTTGCTGTTTTTCTGTTTGTTTACTTTGTTTGTATTTATTTATGTTTTGGTTTGGTTTTGATTTTGATAGGGTCTCATTTTGTAACCCTGACTGGTCTGGCTCTTACTGTGTAGACCAGGTTGGCCTCGAACTCACAGAGATCCACTTGCCCCTGCCTACAAAATACTGGGGTTAAAAGTGTGCACCACCACATTCAGCTTTATTTTACATTTCTTGATAGCTATGCGCATGCTTTTATAGCTTACCAGAAATGACATGTTGATATTTAAAGAGTGAGCCACGGTCCCATGGCTGTAAGGAAGGCCGATGAGAGGCATTCAGAAGCAGCCTTCCAGTCTCCCTGCCTTACCTCCTCTCTCCCTGTTGCCTTTCTTTTCTAAGCCAGTGTCAAACCCCGTGCTCCCCAATTCTTTGTCTTCCTGCCATTCCTTTTCTTGCTTTTTCTCTTTAAATCTTCCTTTAACTACTATTTGATGGAAAGCATATATACTTGGAGTGTTTCTTATGTGTGCCCAAAGAGTCAGTTTTCAAAAAACGAAATCAAGGGCTGGGCGACTGTGGTGAATGCCTGTATTTTACTAAAGTACAGAAAATACATAAACAATCAACATCCCAGCACTCGGGAAGCACTCAACCCACCCAACAACCCCCCTAAAAAAAGAAAAACAACAACAGCAACAACAACAAAAAGTAATACAGTGCACTTTAGTTGTGTCTACATCTTGATTATTTTTTAAAAAAAAATCGCAATAAACACAAAGATATGTGCTAGTGTTGGTGGCACACACCTTTAATCCCAGTACTTAGAAGGTAGAGAGGCAGGCAGATCTCTGAGTTCTAGGCTAGCCTGGTCTACAGAGAAAGTTCCAGGACAGCCAGAGGTACACACACACACACGCACACACACACACACACACCCTGTCTCAAAAAACTGGAAGAAAACAAAAGAATGCAGCTATCTGTTTTAAACAGTGACTTTCTGAAGGAATATATGTACCTCTAGAGTTTAGTCTATGTTTGACTCCGAAGGATCAACCGAATAACTTGTGAAAACAGGAATTGTCTTCTCAGAAGCAGCCCTCTGGCTCCCGGGGCTTTTGATTACTGTGCACATGTTATTATTATTGTTATTATTATTATCATCATCATTATTATCATTATTAGGTTTTTCAACACAGGGTTTCTTTGTGTAGTCCTGGCTGTTCTGGAACTCTTGCTTTGTAGATAAGTCTGTACTTGAACTCAGAGATCCACTTGCCTCTGCCTCCTAAGTGCTGGAATTAAAGGTGTGTGCCTTCAATGCCTGGTTTCCTGTCTTTATTTATAAGTGATTGCATAGAATTAATCATCATGGCATATAAAGTTCAGGGAACAAAACAGATAAGTCCATAGGTCTTTGCCTGCTGTGCTATTCTTCAGTTAAATCCCTTTCTGACCCATTGACCAACAAATAGTTACCTTCATGTAAGAAAGCAGTCTTTGGAATTATAACCTCACCCTCAGGCTTTGAAGCTTAGATTTTGCTCTTTCTGAAACCTTTGCTCCAGGTTTAACACAGCTATAGTTATTTTATGCAAGAGTTCAGCATTCCTCTTACTCTAAGGGACTGTGTGTTGTATGTTTCATACTGTTGAATATGATGCCCTGAACAACAAGAGAACTTTACACTGATACAGATAAAAAGTGCTTGGAGTTTTGTTAATTATTCCTCACTTGATAAATGACCTTGGACATACTCCCTCCAGTGTATGTTTACTTAAGGCTAAACTAATCCTGTTCTGAAATACGATTACCCTTTGGATACGCTCTGGTTGTTCATTGCCTTCCTGTCCTTAATAAAATCCTTTCACTCTCCTGCCCTTCAATAAATTACTCAAGGAGGCAGACAGTTTTCTGGACAGTCTCTGTTTGATAAATGACCATGTCACGCAGTCGCTCAGAGGCGCGCTGCAAACTTCCGAGCGGCCGATGGCCGTTCCCCGCAGGCCGTTCCCCGCAGGCCGGTACCCTGCTCCTGCCTGGGTGTTTGTGGCAGGCAGCCTCTGCTTTAATGATGACTGTGATGAACCTGTGTTTGACCAGCATGCTCCAATCTTTATCGGAAATGTCTGGCCCAACTGTCCTTACTAAATCTAAAGACAGCCATTTGTCATCCCTCTGACTGCCTGTCATCATCTGCCTGGGAAAATCTATAATTTTTGGCTTGTTCCTGACTAAAGTGTGGAATGAATAAATTTATCTTTGGGCCATGCTGCTTGCCAGGATCAATACTGAGCAGAGGTTGAATAAATTAGAAACTAAGAAAACATGACAGGCTATCGTGGTTTGTTCATTTGTGTATTATAAATCAAATATTTAGTTTATATAAGAGGCAAGCACGTCACGTTTTTTACTTTTCCCATTCATTCTGAGGATTCTATACCTCATGATAAATGGTCACCAGAAAACCAATGAAGTAAGTCACTAATGACTTTGACTGTGAGATGAACTCAGGTCATTTTATTGATTTGGCAAACTTTGCAGACATAAAAACTGTAGGCAAAGATTAAGGATTTTTTGTTGTTGTTCTTTCAAGTTTCTTTTTTGCACATGCATTTTACTTGGTATAGCTTTAGCAACTTGAATAATGTTCGTCTAGTGAAGCTCATGACTCAACCTGTACCTGCAAACAACTTTTATAAATTTAAGTTGAACTTAAATTGTAAACTATTTGGTATTTTTATATATTGATATATGCCTGCTTAAAGAGGTCACAGAAAAGAAATGCAAAAATAAAATGGTTGTGAAATGTCATTTAAAGTAGATGCTCCGTGAGCTAAAGAAGCTATTATCATCATCTAACTTAAAACTTCAGCCGGGCGGTGGTGGCGCACGCCTTTAATCCCAGCACTTGGGAGGCAGAGGCAGCCTGGTCTACAAAGTGAGTTCCAGGACAGACAGGACTATACAGAGAAACCCTGTTGCGGAAAAAAACAAATGTTAGCAGTCATGGAATGTGTCAGCCTCAGTTCTTTGGGGCATTACAATCTGTGGACCATTCCCTTATTCCATAGAGACTGTGCATTCCCAGGAATCACGTGACTCCACATGGAACCAAGCTCTGACCTCAGACATCTCAAATACATGACTGCACTATTTTATAACAGTTGTTTCTGAGAGATGAGAGCATATTCCATAAAAGATAGCAGTGTACATAGTGAACTGTTATCTGGGTTCCTCCATGAGAAGAATTCACCGAACTGAGAGAGTCTGAAGAGAATGTGTGGTGACAGTGCTGTAAACCCTCCTCACAGAACACCAGTGTCTTCCAGTGCTGACCATGCCCACAAAGACAGTGGAAGACGCTAACCCATCAGGATTCATCAGGAGCTCCTTCTTTTTCCATACTTGACATCTATTCCTTCAAAAACAATGTCTCTTTTCATACCTTGGGTCACAGAAGCAGACCCATTCACAGTTAGAAATAAGCCTTCCTCCCGTAGCTCACCACAGTGTCCACTGTACTTAAACCCGGCACAGAAAACAATACCCGCTTCCAGATCTGCATCTATGATGCTGTCTTCATTGCCCAGCAGTATGCTGAAGCAGTATCACTCATCTGACCTCTGTACTTTAGGCAGCCTTACACAGCCAACTGTTAATTTGGTGTTTTTCTGGAATGTTTCAAAGACACTCCAACTCTGCTTGACCAAAATGCATGATCTTCTGTTCCTCAAGCCTGTCTCTGGAGCTCTCCATATCCTGTTTTCCTCTGCTCCGTATTCCCCGTATCCAACTCAGAACCAAGTCTGCCTGGTTTGTTCTCCGAAAGGTTGGTTCTCTGATTTGTTCATTCCTTTTCCACCCCTACTGTTATGGTTTCTACCAATCCTCAGTTCTTAGTCTGGACTCTTCCAATCTCTTTCTCACACCTTACTTAAGCAGATCCTTTTCAAAATGCTACCATCTAATTATGTCACATTTTCAATGGCTCCCAGTGCTCTCAGAATAAACACAAGACTCTAATAGAGTCAATGTGGCTGGTCTGTCCACAGCTTCTCTATGGACTGTCTGCCTTCACTCACTCAGCTTCCCATCCGTCCTGTGTAAAATGCATGTGTTTGCCTTAGGGAGCCAAGTCTTTGCCTGTCCGACTTCTCACTTCAGCTGTGCCTTCTCCAGGAAGTCTGGTGCCCTCACCAACTGATGCAAGTCTTCCATTGCAAGTTCTCAGCACCACTCACTTCCCTTGTGACCCTTGTGCAGGGCTTGCTTTACTTTTCCCTGATGAGCGCATGCTCAGAGTTTTCTTTCCCTTTTCCACTAAGAGTTCCCCGGGGCCAGGGATTGTCTGTTTTATGCTGACTGTTGTCTCCGTCATTGCCTGGCTAGATCTATGACAGAGTAGGTATGAACAGAAGAATGTCACTGAATAGACAGGAGATGAAGGATAACAGGCCAGAGGATCTGACGTCAAGAGGTACAGTGGAGCTGGTTTCCAAGAAGTTCTCTACTCAAGGAGCTACCTATGTGAGAAGAAAGGAAAGCAAGTTTCTTTTCTGTGCTTTCTTTCAACTACCCTTTTTATTTATTCTTGCCTAGAAGTCCCTGGCCTGGATTAGCCGTGCAGAGATGTGAGTGTCAGAGGGTAATAGAGCTTCCTGACAGCTGTAGGTCTGGAGAGGGAAGGAAGGGATGAAGCCCCTGCTTGGCCATGTCCTAAACTCCAAAGGCTGTGCCTTGGCTGTAATGTGCTCACTTCTTCCCTCCACCCCCGACTCCCACCCCAAGCTCAAAGATTTCAGTAGCCTGCCGTCTTTGGAGTACTTCAGTTTTTGTTTGCTTGTTTGTTCATTGGTTTGTCTTGCTACATGTGTTCTTTTTAAAATCCTTTTAGATAGTTTTCTTTTTCACAGTTCAAGTTTCAATCTTGGTTGGAAGCCTTAGCAACAATCATTCTAAGAGATCATTTTTTAATTTTTTTAAAAATGATTTTTCATGCCAAAATATACTGTAAATACTATCACTTCTGCTTTGTGATACTACATAAAAATCCATTTACAAAGGCTAGAGATAGCCGGGGCGGTGGTGGCGCATGCCTTTAATCCCAGCACTTGGGAGGCAGAGGCAGGCGGATCTCTGAGTTCGAGAGTTCGAGGCTAGCCTGGTCTACAGAGTGAGTTCCAGGACAGTCAAGGCTACACAGAGAAACCAAGAAACCCTGTCTCGAAAAAAACCAAAAAAAAAAAAAAAAACCCAAAACACAAAAAACCAAGGGCTAGAGATATCTCTGCCACAGTTAAGAGCACTGGCTGCTCTTCCAGAGGACCTGTGTTCAATTCCCAGCACCCACATGGCAGCAGAACAGCGGTTCTAGGGAACCTGACTCCTTCAAATAGACATACATATAGGCAAAACACCAAAGTACATAAAATAAGTAAATAAATCTTTAAAAAAATCCACAGACAAGACTAAGAGGATTTCTCATTGTACTGGGTACTTATTATAATTATGATTATTTATTAAGATGAGTGACCACAGAGTCCATTTGTAACTATATATTTGAGTTTAAATTCCGAATTTTCCTTTTTTGAGATAATGTCAGTTATCAGCAGAAGCTATCATTTTAACGTTATGCTTTCCTGTGTAATAACTACATTCAGTTATTCTTATGTGTTCTCTGTGGACTCATTTGCAGAACCTACTAGTGTCCATACAGGGCCAGCTGCTCTCTAAGTGCTGAACACCTCAGGTCATTATTGCGGTGCTGGTCTCTCTAACAATGGCTGAATTTTCCCCATGGCACAAAGCTGTCTGTTGCTGACAACCTTTTCAATGGAAGTCACTGACCTTATGCATGGCATTGGAGTTCTCTTCCCCAAGGCATAGGCTCTACCAACAGTAGGGTAAGACAAAAAGAATGGAAAACTTGAAGCCATAACATAAAGACCTTGGATTCAGAATACACACAAAGAAAGAAGTTAATATTCAAATGCTGGGCTCTGCCCTTTGACCAAGCCTTCAGAGGAATATTTAAATCACATAAGCGTGTTCAGATGTGTCCTGGGCACTATATTCAGATTCCAATAAACTGACTCCATACTTTTTTGCACATGTTTCTTAATAGGTTCAAATTTTTAAGCAACTTGTATTTCTCTGGCAGATTTCAATATTTGTACTTTGTTCTATACTTTTGACATTTTAACTATACTAGAATGTTGAGGAGTCATGTTTCTTGTCATGTCTTCTTGGATTTGGAATTCTTTCCCTGGATTTGGGGAAATTTCTGCTATAATGTCATTGAATAAGTTTCTCTATACCTTTAGTCTTTTAACTAGGATAGTGTGCTTACCATTTTATTCTTGCACCCTGAACATTCTATGGGTTCTATCTAAAAATACACCCAATACACTCACTCCTCATCTCCAAGCAACCGTCTTCTTCTTTTTTCAAACACATTGTCTTACTTCTTGTCTATATAGCTTCCAGACTCATGTCTTTGCCTTTGTTATTGAAACTCATTCTTTATATAACAGACAGAGAAGTCCTTTTGAAAAATACAGTCCTTCCCATGACTGTCTCTGAACCTAAGTCATGATTATGTCCTGTGAGAACCTTGTCACTTGGCTCTGGTGTCTTTCTTTCTAATTTCATATTATCATGTTGCTTCTGGATTACTGAACTTTGTGGGTACCAGCAATGTATCGGAAAAAAAGCCAGCCCTGGGATTCTACAACTGACCTCTCTTTGATTCTTTGGATATTCCAATTTGTCCCAGAAAGGCAGATCTGTTATCCCTTATACCTGGCATGTTCATCCTCTAGCTCACTCGCTCCCTCCCTCCCTCCCTCCCTCCCTCCCTCCCTCCCTCTCTCTCCCTTCCTCCCTCTCCCCTCTCTCTCCTTCTTCCCTCCCTCCTTCTTTCCTTTCTTTTTCCCTTCCTTCCTTCTTTCTTTCTTTCTTTCTTTCTTTCTTTCTTTCTTTCTTTCTTCTTGAGGCACTCTTTCTATGTACACCAGGCTGTCTTTGAACTTTCAGCAGTCATCCTACCTTTGTCTTCCAAGCACTGGGATTATGGGTATGTGCCACCATGCTCCGCTTGTATATTCTGGAGGCCTGGAACTGAATCCTTCCTCTCTATACAAGTGCCCACCACGTAGCTGAATGAATGGTCCGTGTGATGACATGGTATGCACAATATAACAGGGCATGCATGGAACAGTGCACAGTAGAATAGGGCATTTTCTCTGCGTTTCTCCACAGTATCAGGAGACAGCTAAGAGTGGTTCCTAGAAACTCATTCACTGGGAGAATACTTAAAGAAGAAGAAACTTTGTCTCTAAAGGAAAAAGTTTGATGAACAAATATGTAGATATGAAAAAGCATATAGCTCCCATTCGGTTGGTGACATTATGGAGACCTTGGGTATGGAGGAGAAACAGGTAAGAAGATACAGTAGTTATTTACAAGATTCAGAAGATAGTTCTTGAAGAAACACCAAATAGGTTTTTTTGGTGACACATTTTATAAATATGTCAAAGTATATTGTAAAGCCACAATTCCATTTAAATAGTTGTTTTTTTTTTTTTTTTTTTTTTTTTGGTTTTTCGAGACAGGGTTTCTCTTTATAGCCTGGGCTATCCTGGAACTCACTCTGTAGACCAGGCTGGCCTCGAATTCAGAAATCCACCTGCCTCTGCCTCCCAAGTGCTGGGATTAAAGGCGTGTGCCACCACCGCCCAGCCCCATGTAAATACTTTAAGTCGACTTCATGTTACCTTCACGTGCATCAGCTGGTTGTCAACTGCAATCAGGTGATTAAGATTCTCCAGCATCTCTAAATCTTTTATGTCATCAATATTATTGTTGCTGATATTCAAAGTAGAGAGGGATTTCTAGAAGAAAAATAACTAAATTAACATTAGTCAGTCATCTAACTACTATACGTAGGCCTCAGGCCTCAGTCTTTTAAAGCTTCAAAGTACCAGCTCAGGATTCTTTTAGGAAACAACAGCCAGGAGATTTTGTTCCACTGTCTTTTTGTTTGTTTGTTTGTTTGTTTGTTTTTCGAGACAGGGTTTCTCTGTGTAGCCCTGGCTGTCCTGGAACTCATTCTGTAGAGTGAGGCTGGCCTCGAACTCAGAAATCTGCCTGCCTCTGCCTCCCAAGTGCTGGGATTAAAGGGGTGTGCCACCACTGCCCCGCCACTGTCTTGTTTCATATGGCACTTTTAGAACTCCAGTGTGTGATAGAGCTGACTTTTGCCTCTTGTTCTCTCCACAAACCCTATGCTCCTCCTCTAGAATACAATTTGAATTTACAAGGTAAGGAAGCTACAAATTAAAATGAAAAAGAAAAAATACAACCAGTTAAAAGAACTGCTCATTGTGGACAAAAATGCTTACTGCAGTTTAAGCACATGACTGTTCTGTGTTGTCACATGGGGAAGAAGTCACATGACCTGACATGTTCAGAAGGCACTTGAAATAATAATTTCAGCATTAGCTATTAAAATGAGAACATAAATATACTATATGGTAATACTAAATGAGGAATCCTAACATCTGAGGCTTGGGAATCTGCCAAATCTACCTGCCAAGACAGCCATGCAGAACCAACTTTGAGAAAAATGTCCTGACATTTGAAGTTATGATGAGTCTCTATTATTTATACAAAGTATTAATCTCATTATGACATTTCTGTGTATGATACAATGGGTTTAGTTGTATTCACCCATCCAGTGCCCTTTTCAGACCTGCCACTAATACTTCTTAAGGCTTGAGATAATTGAAAAAAAATGATGCTTTAGTATTTAGATTTCAGAATCTGCTTGAATCTGTGCAAAAGGTAAACTAGCAAAATGTTTTCAGTGGTGTTCTGTGATAAAACGGAGACAAAGAATGACGATGTGCCTCCCTAGGAGGCACTGGTGCATGTTAAGTTCTGCCGAAATGTGCCAAGGTTAGTGTTAACATGTTTTTACACATCTAAATATAAGTATTCCTTCTGATGGTCATTTTCATGTAAATAAGCAGAAAACATTGGGGGGTGGGAAGATGGTGCAGTTTGACTCCTAATCCGCAGTGGTTGGACTTTTCTTGGACTTGTTGCCTGACTACCTTTAACAAAAGGAGTCAGTGCCTACCAACCGCATAGCCGGGATCAACTACTTTTATTGCTCATGGAGTCCTTGAGAAAACTTCACAATGATGATTGCTAAGTGTTGCACTCGCCCTGTTTCAAATAGTTTATACCAGACATTTTGCTGTAATAAACCTCTGTGAATTGAAGACCTACAACACATAGGCAAGAGAGGAAGTACTTTCTCCTTCTGGCCCAGCAGAGGACCATTGCCACTGATGATAAACAGGCAAAGCAGTGATACAAGCCCAGGACTCCATTTCTAGGCAATGGAAGACCTTCATTTGCATTCAAGATGTGCTGTGATTGGTCTAAGCATCCCTTTTTGACTCAGTAACCACGCCTGCAGAGCTCTTTGTTTTTTACCCAGAAAAAAACAGAAGCCCCCAGTGAGCTGACTGGTAAAAGGCCTAGTTGTCCCCTCAGTTGGGCTAGTTGTTGCGGTTGAAGCTGAGGTTGAGATGTGTCTAGTGACAACACAGTGGCATCCATGGGGAGTAGGTAGCTTAGTAACCCTGTCACTTCTTTTCTAACATAAAGGACACTTGTCAATTGTCTAAGGACTATGTTATTCCTTCCGTTCCTGAGTCCTTTAAATCAAAACCAATGAAATCTGTACAACTGTGTCATGTTTATAAATTTCCCATTCCAGAAATGAAGGTGGTATGACAAAGACACATGAGGTTTTTAGGACTAGCAGTGAATCCTGTGTCTCAGCTTAAGACTGGCTGTGAAGCCACACAGATGTCTCCTCAAACCTGGTTAGAGCACACATGCCTCAACCCCAGTGTTTGGGAGGCTGCTGCCTGAGATTGTGTTTCAGAAAAACTCAAATCAATGAAAGCGTGCCAAATAATTGTACACTCCCTTTTCCTTAAGGTGTCTCCCAAATTTAAAACCATGGATCATGATAATCAGCAATGCCCACATTATGGGCCTGGGTTAGAATGTCAGTTCACATAGCCTGATCTCTTCCTTCTTTCTGTCCTAGCCCTCTCTAGGAGGTGGGCAGCACTGCCCTGTTTGAAAACTAACATGGAGAGACTGCTCAACAGAAGCTGCCTCAGCCCGCAACTTTCAGTGGGCAGAGAAACAGATTATGCACACTCCCAGAGTACGCCCTCAGTACCTCCTGCTCCTCCCTCACTCACTCCTTACTGCACTCTGGTCCCAACATTTGAATATGCCCTTACTGCCAGAGAACGAAGAGTCCTTGGGTCAAACAGAAGCTTTTCTCCCAGGGGGAGCCTCTGACTTTCCACATGAAGTTCTCTCAGCTCCTCTAATCCTTCCAAGCCTTCTACGACCGCAATGTAATTGCCTCCCAGATACCTGCAAAACAGATATGGCTTCGAACAGATTTTCTGAGAATGATGAGGACTTTAAGGGTGTTAAATATATAACAAGGAGGGCAGGGGAGATGGTCACTGGATAAGCCACTTGCTTGGCAAGCAGGAGGCCCTTAGTTTGAATCCCCAGAACCCACATAAAGCTGTTCTTGTTAGTGAGCATAGGTAATCCCAGAGTTTAGGTGAGATGGGAGGTAGAGGATCCCCAGAAACTTGTGGGTCACATAGATTGTCTCAAACAAGGTGGGAGGTGAGGCAACACTGGAGGTTGTTTTCTGATCTCCACATGTTTATGCCTGCATTCACACACAAGAATATATGCAAACACTGGAAATGGTTGTCTGCATGGAGCATGGACAAAATTTTTTTTTAAAAAAAAATCAGTTAACAGGATTAAAAAATAAGAACACTTACAGTTTTTCCAATTTCTTTAGTGAACTGAGGTTTTCAATGCAGGAAATGCAATTGTTCTGTAGGTACAAGTGGGTGAGGTTTGTGGCGTAGTTCAGGTTGGAGACTTGACTAATGCGATTATCATATAAATATAGAACACTTAGGTTTCTGCAAAGAGAAAGGTCATCCTGGAAAGAAACCAAAACAGGGCCTATTTATTTACCTTTGCAAGCTTACAAGTTGGATTTTAAGGAAGACTTTCACTTGGTCATTTCTACAAATCTCCCTAAGGGTCTCCTAACATTTCTTGCCCTTAGGACAGTCAAAATACAACTGTAGTGATATGGGGGCTAGAATTCAATAACTGCACCAGTAAAATTGCAGGTCTTAAGACTCTCCTGCTGGGTGGTGGTGGCGCACGCCTTTAATCCCAGCACTTGGGAGGAAGAGGCAGGCGGTCTACAGAATGAGTTCCAGGACAGCCAGGGCTACACAGAGAAACCCTGTCTTGAAAAAACCAAAAAAACTCTCCTAAGCAGTTTTCCTAGGAAGCAATTAGAGACTGTTCTGAAAGTTGAAACAATGAACAAATTCTTGCTCAAACATCATTATAAAGTAGGGCTTCATCTTTCTGTAGAATTGGAAGCAAACCATTACAGTTTATAATACTGAAAACTAGAAGCCATCCAACAGTTAAGAGTAATGGATAGCTGAGTGTGGTGGTGCACACTTCCAGCACTCAAGAAGCTGAAGCATATGGATCTCTGTAAGTTCAAGACCAGCCTGTTCTACATGGTGAGCTCCAAGCCAGCCAGGGCAAGAAATCAAGTTAAAAAAAAAAAAAAAAGATTGTAAAACTCTGATAATGTTAGTGATCTGAATACTGTAAAACAAACTTTTATGTCTTTGCACTCTTCATAAAGTGAAAGCAGTGGTTCATTATTACCCACTCTTGTAATTATCTGAGTAGCTAGGCAGGCAAAACACAAAACACATTCCCAGCACTTGGGTTGCAGATGAAGGCAGTGCTCTGTGAGTTCAAGGCCAGCCTGGTCTACACGTGGAGTTTCAGGACAGCCAAAGCTACATGTAGACATTTTGTCTCCAAAACAAAACAAAACACCCCAAACAAACAAAACCAAAACCAAACAAAAATATGTGAGTACATGCTGGTTTTTCAGCAGCCAGTTAAAATGGTTGTCTTTGAGGAGATTTAAATCTTTTTAATCTTTTTTTGTTTGTTTGTTTGTTTTTTTGTTTTTTGTTTTTGTTTGTTTTGGTTTTTTGATTTTTCGAGACAGGGTTTCTCTGTGTAGCCCGGGCTGTCCTGGAACTCACTCTGTAGACCAGGCTGGCCTCGAACTCAGAAATCCGCCTGCCTCTTCCTCCCAAGTGCTGGGATTAAAGGTGTGCGCCACTACCGCCCGGCATCGTTTTTAGGTTTATTTTATTTTATGTGTATGAGAATTTTGCCTGCTGTATGTATCTATATGAATGTTGCCTTCAGAGACCAGAGGAAGTCTTCAAATCTCCTGAAACTGGAGTTACTGATGATTGTGAGCCATCTGTGGGTACTAGGAATGGAATCTTGGTCCTCGGCAGGAGCCACTAAACTGCTGAGCCATCTCTCTCTCTCAAACAAACAAACAAGCAAGCAAACAAATAAATAGAGGCCAGGCAGTGGTGATGTATGCCTTTAATCCCAGTAGGACAGCCAGAGCTACACAGAAAAACCCTGTCTCAAAGCTTACAGGTGTCTTGCATGACTGTCCTCTGAGAGGCTCCACCCTGCAGCTGACTCAGACAGATACAGACACCCACAACCAAACAGCGGATGAAGCTTGGGGACTCTCATGGAAGAATAGGAGGGGGGCCGGGTGGTGGTGGCGGCGTATGCCTTTAATCCCAGCACTTGGGAGCCAGAGGCAGGTGGATTTCTGAGTTCGAGGCCAGCCTGGTCTACAGAGTGAATTCCAGGACAGCCAGGGTTATACAGACAAATCCTGTCTCAAAAACTCGAAAAGATAAAAAAAAAAAAAAATGAATAGGAGGAAGGATTGCAGTTCCTAAAGGGACAGGAAACTCCACAGGAAGATCAACAGAAACAACCAACCTGGACCCTTGGGGCTCTCAGAGACTGAACCATGAAGCAAAGGACATACGCCGGTTAAATTTAAAAAAATTAAAACCTTTCGATGTGGGCTGATGGGGCTTCCTGGGGGAAAGTCTATGCATGATATGATGACACAGAGGCTTTGAACAACAAAAGAGAAACATGAGGTTGTGCAACTGGATTCCTGGGGAAAGGAGTCATCAGGAATGGTGTAGAGGCTGCTTGTGGTAGTACTTTCTTGCAATCCTAGTACTTGGAGACTGAGACAGAAATATTTTGGTTTTAGTTGGGCATGGTTGCCTTTAATCCTAGCACTTGGGAAGCAGAGGCCAGCCTGGTCTGCAGAGTAAGTTCCTGGACAGCCAGGACTACACAGGAAAACCTTGTCTAATACAACTGAGCCAGAATAATCTGTATTTACATAATTAAATTATATGCAAAAACTTCACCTTTGAACTCTTATTGGAGAAAAGGGGTGACTGGGGTGAACATAGGACCTTGGATATGCTGAATGCATATTGCCCCTGGGTGTGTTCTTTCCACCACTGTCAAAATTTTGAATTCTTAATTTTTTTTTTAGAGACAGGTCTCATTGTATAGCTCAAGCTGGTTTTGAACATGAAATCCTCCTGTCTCAGCCTCGGAGTGCTTGGGTTACATGCAAGTAGCTATCTTGTTTCTTTTTTTTTCTTTTTCTTTTTTTTTTTTTTGGTTTTTCGAGACAGGGTTTCTCTGTATAGCCTTGGCTGTCCTGGAACTCACTCTGTAGACCAGGCTGGCCTCGAACTCTCGAGCTCAGAAATCCACCTGCCTCTGCCTCCCAAGTGCTGGGATTAAAGGCGTGCGCCACCACCGCTCGGCGCTATCTTATTTCTTAACATTTTGATATTTAAAAAATATTCCAAGGCTCTAGAATGGCACAAAAGCAATAATTTTTTGCAGTGCAAATACAGGAGTATTTTAGGGAAACAGGAAAATCTATTTAACAGATACTTGTAAAACACAATGCTATATTTTACAGAAATGTAATATGCTAAGTATCAAATGAAGGAAATTAAAATAGAACATAATATAAAGCTCCTGGTAAAAATATAGTTAACAAGCTTAATCAAAATAGAATTATGATACTGGGTATGCCCTTAAACCAATAAAAGTTATACTGCTAACTGTACAAGACCAAAATAAATTAAAGTTCTTACAATCGAATCTATATTTCTGTCTGAAAAATTTATGTGTGTTATTTTCTTCAGGCATTGTGCAAGGGTTTCTTCTTTTCTGGGTTTAAGATTGCTTTTTTTGGCAATTAAATCCACCGTCAGTCGAACCATGGTTTCTGCATAAGTCAAACTCTCAGTGAAAACTCCACTTTGGCAGCATGTCCAGAAGCAGGCTTAGATTTTACTTCCACTTTCTAAAAACTGAAGGGAACAAGGGTACATTGTGACACAGAGTCAGTCAGGAAGCTGAATTACTTCAACTCTCTCACGTACAACTGTTTGTTAAGCTAGGCTGCTGGCATTTATGCCTTCTGGTATTTTCTACCTTTACAGTTAACTTTTTTCATTAAAACATTTAGAACCAAGGCTGACTGGTGGCACACAGCCCTAGCACTTGGGAGGCAGAAGCAGGTAGGTGGGTCTCAAGTTCAAGGGCAGCCAAAGCTACATAGTTAGACCCTGTGTGTCTTGTCTCAAAACAAAACAAACAACCTAGAGAAATAAACAACAAAACATTTAAAGCACAAAAAATGAGTTAAGTGTACATTACTTCCTTGCCTTTTATTGTTTATGTTTTGGACTAGGATCTGGCTGTGTAGCCCTGGGCTGGCCTGGAACTCGCTGCCTCTTCTCCCTGAACCCTGGGATTAGAGACCCTATGTAAGCCAACACAAAGCAGCGGCAGCCTTGGCCTCCTCCTCTTGGTTGTTAGTTTTTAGAGGGTCTCACGTGTATTGCCCAGCCTAGCTTCCAACTTGAGATCTTTCTGCCTGGCCTCTCATACTGGGATTAAATTCTAGTGAAAGAAATAGCTTGCTTTCATTTGTAAATATTTTCTCCCCCAGAGCAGTAATTAATTGTTGTGGGTACCTCCTTTTCCTCCCGGTTCATTTTTTTTTCTTGTGCTGTGATAGAATCCAGTGGGTCACTGCAGGCTAGGCGATCACTTTACCGTTAAGCTACATCCTGTGTCCTAAGATGAACCTCTTTTGAAATGATTATTTAACCTCTTTGAGTAAAAAGGAAGATTGTCCAATGCTCTTATTTCATAGATGAAGAAATTACAAATCGCAGCGAGTTAATCCAGGCTCTCTAGTGTCTGCTGAGACTGGAGCTAGGTCTCTCACTCCTCACAGTATCTGCAGGAGCATCTTCAAATCAGAGAGCATACTGTGAAAACCCACACACAGGATGATATGGACACGTTGATGGCCCAGGCCTAGGTATGGTATGTCATGCCAGAAAACGGCAAAATGATGCAGTGCTTCCCAGTGCAGATGTTACAGTTCTTACAGTTCACAGTTCAAACAGTTGCTTCAATAATCGCTGGAAAAGCAATCTTGAAGTATTTTGTAAAATAAACTTAAGGCAAGGTGCATCCATGGGGACCTCCATTTGATACAAGCATCACAAAAATAAATAAAAATGAAGTCAGATTTATGTGATGCACCTGTGTGCGTGCATGTGTGTGTGTGCCTGTGTCTGTATGTATGTGTGAAGGCAGTTAACAACAGATGGGGTGGGGAAGGGACTCCTGAGGCTCTGCCTCTCTCTGAGGATCTATAGGCAGTTAATGGCATCAGGGTTTAGGAGATACCTTTCTTCTCTAGTGCTGTAATCATTGCTAGGTGCCTATGCTCCTGTAAGTAACCCCTCACCTATGCCCTGTAATCAAGTGGAGCAAACATATTGGTCCAGGAAAACAAGAAGATGCTAAAGTAGAAGAGGGACTGACTAGCTGGGAAGAGAAGGGGGCAAAAGGGAGTGGGAGGGATGAGAGAGGGCAACCAGGGGAGGGGATGTGCCCAAATTACATTATGTGCCTTCATGACAGTATCATAAAAAAAACACATTACTATGTAGAATATATGATGCTAAAAAAACCCTTAAAAATAAAATGAATGAGTTTCACTAGAGAATCTGCTTGTAGTCTAGCCTCTTGGGAGGCTGAGGCCGGAAGATTACTGGAGTCCAGGTGTTTGAGGGCAGACAGATGACTATGTGAAGACCTGTCTTAACTACATAAAACAAGGACAGTCCTACTTGTTCAAAGGGACAGTGTGGGAATGCATGCAGGCTGTGCGCTCGCTGCATGCTCCCAGGGCAGCTATGACACGGAGGGACACAAACTGACGGAGTTACTTAACACAGTGTCACATTTCTTTTTTCCTTTTCTTTCTTTCTTTCTTTCTTTCTTTCTTTTCTTTTCTTTTCTTTTTTTTTTTTTGTTTTTGTTTTTGTTTTTTTCGAGACAGGGCTTCTCTGTGTAGCCCTGGCAGTCTGGAACTCACTCTGTAGACCAGGCTGGCCTCGAACTCAGAAATCCGCCTGCCTCTGCATCCCAAGTGCTGGGATTAAAGGCGTGTGTCACCACTGCCTGGCTCATATTTCTTATTTTTTGGAATTTGACTGTGTGGTTCTCAAGTGTGAGCTTTGTAGATGACAATACCATGTTGCAATATTAAAAGTTTGGCCGTGTCGGTGAATGTTCTGGACAGTGTCTGACATAGGTCAAAATATTTGTTGCAGTCATCATTATGAATCTATTGCTGTTTCATCCACAGAGGATTCACTCTTTGATCTTGAAAGCATCAGGACTATTAAATAGGGGACATGCTATGAAATGTAATTACTTTATAGCTATATAATTATATAGCTACTTTATATTAGTTATTGTATGTTATACATAAGCATATGGTAACTGGTTTTTCCTGTCACCCTAAAAATAGAAATATTTAACTGACAACTATCCTTGTCTCCCAAACTGTGCATCATATTTTTGAACTAAAAAGATAATTAAAAGCCCAATGTTAGAATGCATTATCTATTTTTTCATTTTATCTAGAATTATACCAAATAAACATTTCAATTTACATAGTATTCAATGGATACGAGTTCAGTGCTTAGAAGGAAAATGAATTTGATACATGGTAAATGTGTCCTTACTCATAAGCATAGTACCTATTACCCAGACAATATAAATTTCTTATAATATGCAAATCTGAAGGGACAGGGTGCCCTTCAGTCTTCAGAATGTAAAATACAGACCCTTCGGAAAAAAGGGCATCCTGTATTTCTACTATGTAGATTTCTGAAATTTGCTTATACTTGTATTAATTTTTAACAAAATTTGAAATTGATTTTTTTCATAATGCCATAGATCTATACATAAGCTTAAAATATAAAACAGCAAAAAATAGACTTAAGCTTAACATGATAGATAATAAACCTAGTATCTGTGAGGCAGATGCAAGAGAATCCCAGAGCCCAAGGCCAACCACAGCTACATAGGAATTTTAGACTAGTCTGAAATACATGACACTCTGCTTCAAAACCACAAAAGAAAACAAGTACTTAGCGTGTGTGTGTGTGTGTGTGTGTGTGTGTGTGTGTGTTGTGGCTCAGTTATAGTATCTAGCATTCACAAGGCCCTGGATTCATCCCAGTACTGGGAAAAAAACAAAACAAAACAAACCCAGACTAACTAACTAAACCCCTAAAGGTCTACTCTCCTTCCTCTCCGTTGTCTTTAGTTTGGACATTGCTATGGATGTATTCATAGTTTTGTTACAAATGTCCATACACCTAAAAAGTATAGTTCTTATTTTCTCCCAATTTTGCATATCATCAGAGTCATTCTGTCTCTAGACTCTTTTCTGCTTACCCTTTTGTTTTGAAGAGCCATCTAGTTTACCACACACACTAGAGTGTTGTACTGTTGTGGCTTATTCTTCCTGATGGACGTCTGGGTTTTTCTGTATTTTGCTTTTATAAAGCTGCTTTTATGCTTCTTGTCTATGTTGTCCTTAGAACAAGGTTTAATCTAGGAGTGGCCATTCCTGGCCTGCACATTTTAATGTCACTGTATGCTCCCAATTTGTTCTTCAGTAGGGCTTTGACATTTACTGGTGGTGACAGTGGCAGGGTCCCATAGATACAGCTAAAGCTATGATATTAACTTTTTTTTTTTTAAGATTTATTATAGTGTTCTGCCTGCATGTATGCCTGCAGGCCAGAAGGCACTAAAATCAGGGTCTAGACAAGGCTGCCCACTCTCTTTCTACCTACTCAATACAGTACTTGAAGTCCTAGCCACAGTAATTAGACAATAAAAGGAGGTCAAACGGATACAAATAGGAAAGGAAGAAGTCAAAATATCACTATTTGCAGATGATATGAGAATATACTTAAGTGACCCCAAACTTCTACCAGAGAACTCCTAAACCTGATAAACAACTTCAGCAAAGTGGCTGAACTTCAAGTCTCTAAAGAAAAAAAGAAGATCTCAGAAGATGGAAATATCTCCCACGCTCATTGATTGGCAGGATTAATATATTAAAAATGGACATCTTGGTGAAAGCAATCTATAGATTCAGTGCAATCCCCATCAAAATTCCAACTCAATTCTTCATAGAGATAGAAAGAGCAATTTGCAAACTCATTTGGAATAACAAAAAACCCAGGATAGTGAAAACTATTCTCAACAATAAAAAAACTTCTGGAGAAGTCACCATCCCTGACTTCAAGCTGTACTATAAAGCAATCGTGATAAAAACTGCATGATATTGGTACAGAGACAGGCAGGAAGATCAATGGAATAGAATTGAAGACCCAGAAATGAACCCACACACCTATGGTCACTTGATCTTTGACAAAGGAGCTAAACCAACCAGTGGTAAAAAGACAGCATTTTCAACAAATGGTGCTGGTTCAACTGGAGGTCAGTATGTAGAAGAATGCAAATCGATCCATACTTATCTCTCTGTACAAAGCTCAAGACCAAGAGGATCAAAGACCTTCAATATAAAACCAGATACATGGAAACTAATAGAAGAGAAAGTGGGGAAGAGTCTTGAATATTTGGGCACAGGGGGAAAGTTCTTGAACAGAACACCAATGGTTTATGCTCTAAGATCAAAAATTGACAAATGGGACTTCAAAACTGCAAAGCTTCTGTAATGCAAAGGACACTATCAATAAAACAAAATGGCAACCAACATATTGGGAAAAGATCTTTAGGAACCCTATATCAGAAAGAGGGCTAATATCAAGGTATACAAAGAGCTGAAGAAATTAAGAATCCAGACAATCAAATAACCCCATTAAAAATGGGGTACAGAGATAAACAAAGAATTCTCAACTGAGGAAACTCAAATGGCCAAGAAGCACCTAAAGAAATGTTCAATATCCTTAGTCATCAG